CTAGTTTTTGTCAATATTCATTTTTTTCCATCCTTTCATAGAAAAATAAATTTCATGGTTGCCCAGATAAAGGTTGCCCATTTTCCACCTACTCTTGCATCCAGGTGTGGCCATGTACCTACGTTCTGACCACTGAGATGCAAAGCTTAGTGTTGTATGGCAGCTTCCAATAAATCTCCTTAACAGAAAGCTAGTTGTTGTCCTTTCCTCTTCTTTGTCCTTCCTCTATCCTTCGCTTTGGAATGTAAATGCCATTATCTTGTCGCAAATAAAGTGACAAGAAGAAAAACCCTCTGTTCATGACACTCTGAAGCACAATACTGGCACTGTTCTGCCATTTGGGACTTCGGGACAAGGGACAATAAAATGCTATCTTATTTATTTAAACCACTCGTGTTTTGGGTACTGTCACTGGCAGCTTAACCTAATCCTAGCTACTTCAGAATTTGGCACCTAGAAGTGGGGTGCTACCTGTAACAGAAATCAAAATATGTGGTGTTGGCTTAGTGCAGGGTTGGCAAGCTTTTTGAAAAGCATCAGATGGCAAGTGTTTAGGCTTTTGGGACATCTTTGGTCTTTGTCACAAATTCTTCCTTTTAATTTTAAAGAACTTTTTAAAATAAAAACATCTTAGCTCAGTCCTTTAAAAATATAGTAACAATTCTTAGCTCAAGGGCTAACAAAACACGTGGCTGAATCTGGTATTTGAGGGATAGTTTGCTGACCTCTGCTTAGTCCACCAGGGGTCAGCACACCCCGGCCCTCCTCACCAGGGTCAATGTTGACTTCAGAGCCCACTTACCTTTCTGGAGTCATGTTTTCTCTTTATTTTTAGTTTCTGAGTGTTCCTCTTATTTTTTTTATTGATTAGAAACTAATGCATTTAATTATTCAGTGACATCTACTCTCAGAAAGTACACCAAAGTGGACTTTTATAAAAGATGGAAATGTAAAGAAATCACCAAAAGGACATCGCAATGATAGGTCATTAATATTTAGTATTTACTCAAAAAGAGTCAACTTTTAGTTTTTAAGAAAGAAAAAAATAAATCAGCAACTCAGGTTATTAGTTTTTAAAACTTTATAATAGTACTTGACAATTCAATTGCAATCATTTTGCTATCCTGGAATTACACTAGTCATTACAATATTGCATTATTGCCCATTTCATGTGATTTATGATTCCATGGTACCCATTATGTTTATTGCTTCCAAGCTAATGATCAGTTTCCCAATAAATGAATGTTGTAATTTTACTTAGTATATTTAGATAGACCACAGAGTTCTATAAAACATTGTACTCAAAGTATAAAAATAAGTGCTTTAGGCATACTCTTTAATACTGTTTTTGTATCTTTCTTTTGGTGCCTCAGCTAACTAACTTCACATAAATAAAGTCAATAATAACAAAAAGGAAAACAAGCAAGAAATTAATACCTAGAAACTAGAAATGCATTTTGCTGACAGTTTGCTTTTCATTAAAAGATAGAGGATAACCCATCTGGTTATATTGCAGCCAGAAAAGTCAGAAAAAAAACTCATAAAGGAATAGGAATAAAAATACCAATAATTATAATAAATATTTAAATCAGTGATCATGATGGGCTGATTTAAATAGACTTATCTGCAGCCAGTGCGCCCAAAGATCTCTTAGGAATTATAGTAGCAAATGTTAAGTATCTAAATAAAATTTACATTTGAAAAAAGTATGTATGTTTTGTTGCAAATCACTTATTGCCAAAAAATATAGGTATAGGTAAGGCTTGTGAAATAGATTTTGAATTTTATAAACACAAGTATATTTAGGAAACAGAGATAGTTAATGACCAAAATGCTTTCAAGTAGATTAAAAAGCATGGGGATCTGCTCATTAACATCATAAATTAGTATGTGAATATGACAAATCCATGTTTTAAGGCTCCTCTGGATCTTTATATTTATTTCCTTTTTAAAAATTTTGCAGTCTTTTAAATTTCTCTTAAGCTGAAGGAAGTCCTTTCTGGCTTGGGGTATAAATAGCTAAGTTCAAGGAAGAAAGGAACCAGCCAATGGTTTATGAATCTCCTAATGCCCTATGGTTGTGACAGGCTAAGAACATGTCCCTAAGAGCTGTTTCACATCTTGTCCCCTGCCTAATCTAGCCTTGTGGCTGCTAGCTCTGTCCCTGATGGCAGAACTCAGGACCTGTAGCCCAGGGGCAGTGGGAGGAAAAGTTGGACCAGCAAAGACTGGGTAGAGGGACAGCTAGATGGGGAGTGGATTGAGGAGAACCGTGGGGGAGAAGATGACACATCTCTCTCTCTGTTCACTATGCTCCTACCCCGGCCAAAAAGGAGTAGCTGGGATCTTAAGTTGAAGCTGTGTCTGCTTTGGGGAGAATAAAGCCAATTCTACAACATTTTTTTAAAGGGCCATAATGAAGGGGTCCCTGTATAATTTTTCATCTACACTGGACACATTTGAGAGTAAGAGGAGCTATTGTAAGTATTTATAACATGGGCAACAGATGTAAGCCAGCACTGTCCTGGCACACCCAGATGTATTGTCACACCAGAAAGACAAGAGACGTTGCTCAACCCTGAGTGGGATTGACATTCTTCAGTCTCTTAGCTCCTGTTGGCAGCTTACTTTCTTTAAATGAGGTAGCTTTCTAGCAGCAATTTTGGGTGCTGTTACACAAACATAGTGTGGTTTGGCATGATACCAGGTTTGGGCAGGAGTAGGAGGGGAAAACTAGTCACCTAGAGAATTACATTTTGTTGCAGTTAAAGGTGGTCTACTAGTTATACTAATGGGTTGGTAGAGAAGTATAGCAATTTGAGAAGAAGCAGCATTTTTATAGGTAGGAAAACAGACATCTACTCTGACGGCTGTTCCATTTCCTCCTATGCAACAGTGCCTGATTTTAATTCTCAGTAAGCTATTGATGACCAATATTTAGAAACCCAGTTCTAATGTACTGGATGTTTCTAAATTATTTGCTTGGATATTTTGTTATTATTGCTTGGTTGGTTGACTCATTTTAATTTTTTCTATGAAAATTTATTTCTAGGAAGCAATAAAGTAAGAAATAACTGAAAAATGAATATTGATACACAAGTATGATAGGTATTAAGTAGGTTCTAATATCTGAAGGCCAAAAATGTAAACACCATGCAAAGGAAACCTTTGGTTCTACACTTGGTTTTCAAAATCCCATTTTTAAATTTTCAGAAACTATAGCAGGACTTGGTCTACATTAATTAACGTGGGCAAAGTAAATGCAAACATATGACATGGTAGACACATTGACACTTTCTATGAATATGTTCTAATAGAATCTGAAGTATCCTCTAGCTTTTACTAGAATGAAGTAACATTTCAGCAAAAAATAAAGCCACATCTACTTACTTGAATAAAATCAGTCCTCAGGATGTAAATATCATGAATACTTATGTTTTTCCTCAAGAAAGTAATGAGTTGGGGTTCCAGTGGTAATCTTCTTGATATTTTTGTATTATTGTATGTTTAAGTCTTTACTCTTAACATTTATAATTTAATCTGGAATAATGACTTTTCTCATAAAGAGATTCCTATATTTACTAATTGTTCATTTTGATTAAATTAAAATTCCTCTGGATGAAACCTTCTATTTTGCAGTGGTTAGACATACAGAGTGCCCTTTCCATTCATTTTAAAAGACTTTAAAGAGAATTACAACTCTTGCTCTTGGAATTTTTTTTGAAATGAGTAGGAATTTGCCTGACCCCAATGCAATTACTGTCATGGAGTATAAAAGCTGGTCTGTGGGGAAGTGTAAATTTGGACCTACACATTGCTTAAGGAGAACTTTTTCACTTTCTCAATTTTAGAATTAGCTTGACCCAAGTATTAGTTTGTAGCCAATATGCATTATATTCAAATTCATACTTTCATAAGATGAATATATGTAAAAATATGATTTGGCTATTTTGTTTTAATTTAGACAAATTTTTCTTGCATTTTTCTACTTAACAAACATGAAATAGAAAGGGAAAAAAAAATAAGCAGTTCCCAAACTTAGTTGCATAATTGGAATCACCTTATCTTTATAAAACAATACTGATGTCAAAATTACCGACCCCAAGACTTTCCGATGTAATTGGTATGAGGTGTGATCTTGGCTTTGAAAGTTCCTCCAGGTGTTTCCAATGTGTAGGCAAGTTTGGGGACCACTGTCCTAGGGCGTCTGAGAAGGGAAATACAAAGCTAAAAACAAAGGCCTTTCAACATTCCATCTGTAACATCGAGGCCTTTGACATCTGATTGGAGTTCACAGAACTGAAAGGTAACAAGGACTTTTAATTGTTTTTGGAATTTATCTGATTTTGATTGGAATCTGGCCTGATTTTGAATCATAGAATTCCAGTCAAGAGTTGATATTTTGTTTATGCCTTTGTACCTGTGTTTTCCCTTGAGTCCTGTAGAATTTTACAAGGGCCAAGGGATTTTTAAAGATGGAAATTGTAATACTGTTGTGTCTTAAATCACTGATGAAACTTGAGAAGTAGTAATGGGTACTGGGTGGTTGGAATTAGGTTATTTCTGCTTGGAACAAAAAGCAATCGCGTATAAGGATGGCAAACGAGTAGTGCCTTCTACTCCTCTCCATTCTGACTTTTGTAGCATCCTCCTCCCCCATCAGATGTTCCTGGAGAAGAGGCCCTCGACTCTAGGGGCTTTTGGTAAATCCCACCCTTGCTGAGTGTCTGGAGAATCAGCCTCTAATCAGCAGGGACGAGGTAAGGTTTTCCTGTGACGGCTCCAAGGCCACAGCACTCAGCTCTGCCGAAGCTGTCTGATGCTCATTGGGAGTAAAAGGAAGGGAAGGTAGAGGACTTCCTGGTAGATTCAATATAAGCGCGTGAGATAGTCCAAGGCTGAACCAAGTTACTTTAACTGTCTCTGAAGCTGGATGGTGGCCTGAGTATTGCAAAAAGGTCAAAGAAATAAGAGTAAATCTTTATTTCTTGCTTTGTTTGAAATGACTTTTCAGCCAATTTGCCAAATAGCTAAAAGTATCATAGGTGATAGTTTATAAGTGGTATTTCCTTTTTTAAGATATTGGAGAAGAGCAAAATAAGACTGAAATGAAAATAAACCAATATGGACACATCAAACGTTTAAAATAAGAAAAAGTCATTTCAGGTCGGAAGGATGATTGTCTTGTGGGGATGCTTGGGAAGGGCAGGAGTTCTAGGGGCAAAGAGGTGGGCTAATGAGTTTAATAAACCATAGGCCTGGGTTGCTTTCACCAGGTCTGCAATATATCACATCGATTTCCAGGAAGTCCCCGGGGATTGCAGGGGACAGGGAGATGCTGACCTATGATAAAGTGACTGGGCGGAATTTTCAGACTGCAAATGATGACTCATCAAACCTTGGACATTTTTTTCACAAGCCTCAGCCTGTGCACACACTCCACTTAGCGGGTAATGGAGAGCATGTTTTGAAAAGCATCCTCCCACCTTCCCTCTGCCTTTGGTGACTTTGGGGATCACAAAACGCAGGTGCAAGCCAGGGTTAAGACTCTGGGGTTGACTTGGCTCTCTGTTGTTCCTGACTGGAAAGGTCAGTTAAAAGCTCTCTCTCCACTCCATCAGGGTTCGTAAATGTGTTCCCAAGACACTCAGCAACCGCGAGAGAGCCACCTGGGGGCAGTGGCTCTTTAGCCTTCGGTTAGAGAAAAGGCTCCTTAACATCGGATTGGATTGGGAATCATATTCTCCTACCGCGATTCCACAGTTAGTAGAAACTATCGTCTCAGGAAGGGCATCACGTGAAGAAAAGCATTACGTGTGATCATTAGGGGACTGAGTTAGAGGTTTATTTCTTCTAGATAGAGTTTTGTGTCTTATTATTAAAATAAAAAAAAGATATCTTCAGAAGGCTCCATATGCATCCCCCCGGGCGGTCACTGCGAAAGTGGGGTAGACCTCATACGTTGTGTATGCTGCCAAGTCTTGTCCGAGGGTCACTGCTTGCTTGAGCTGGGCCGCGGACACGGGTGCAGTTGCGCTAGGGACGGCATATGCTGGAGGAGGAGGCAGAGAAAACTGCGTGAAAGGGATTCCCGTTTGCTTCCCTCGGGCTTACCGTCTTCCTTTCGGAATATGTGCCTATTCTCATCTGTGCATTTTAAAAGGTGCTCTCAGGGGACTCATCCTTTAGGGGGCAGCATTCCTCCAATTGAGGTCCAGCACCTGTGGCAGAATCACTTCACTCTGAGAGAATTAGAAACCCGGGCGACAGGGTCCACGAAACAGAAACTTAATAGGATGCTGAATGGAGGAAAGTGTGGGATTCAGAGCTTTCTCAGAGGGTCTCAGAATTTATAAAGGAGGCAGGGATGGGGGATGGGGCTCGGTGCGTCTGCTTCTGCTGCCTCCCCACCCCCACCTTAATGAAATGATAAGACATTGCTTTCACCTGGGAAGTATGTGTAGGGAGTGGGTAGACCAGTAGGATAAATATTTACAGTTTTAGCATGTTTTTATAGCATGGCACCATGAAAGCAAATACTTAAGTAGCCTTCCCACAATGAGAACTAACCTTGAAGGGCAAATAGCATCTTTTCCCCCTACCATCAAGCTACCTTTGGTGTATTTGGATGCCTGTCCTCACCCCCCCTCCCACCTTCCCCCTCCCCCCTGCAAGCCAAGTTTTGACTTATAAGGTGTTACATATTATTGATTTCAGACAGGAAGCGAGATGGAAAGAGAGATAGAAAGATCAATCATGAGAGAAAATCATTGATTGGCTGCCTCCTGCATACCCCCTACTGGGGATCAAGCCCACAACCCCAGGCATGTGCTCTTGACTGGAATCGAACCCGGGACCCTTCAGTCCACAGGCTGATGCTCTATCCACTGAGCCAAGCCAGCTAGGGCTTAGTATTATGTTTAGTTGCTTAGTAATCACTTTTGAAGAAGAGAGCATAGCAGCTCTTATCTTGAAGCATTATTAACCCGTTAGTGTTTTAGAGCAAAACTGGGTATTTGAGATGATCCAAAAATTGTAAAAGATGATGAGAAAAAGGGAAAGTAATTAAGCAATAAACAGGGATCTGATAAAAAAACAAAAAACAAAAAAGCCACCCACAAAAGCCCATTTGTATTATGTGCTGTGGAAGTCTGCCCGACCCCCCAGACACATTGATTTCTTTCTGGTGGCTTTTCAGGAGGTGGTGGCTGGAAGCTGGCTGGACTATTTTTTTAAAAAAAATTGAATCCACTCCTTGGCTCCTGCACTTTGAGCAGTAATGCTGACTAATGCACTAGTGAAGTTTGGTGCATTTCCCAAGGATATGAGAAATGTGTTAACAATTACTTTCATGATTTTGGAAACAGAATATCTAAAGTAAGTAAGTAATGCATGCATATGTGTGTGTGGCATAGATTTTATCTTTAGGTGTTTTGAATTTTCTTTTGCAATTTGGCTAATTTCTTAGGCGCAAAAGTATTTGTGTTTTAAACAGATTCTTCCCTTGAAGCCTATTATTCTCTGCTTGATCCTGCTATAAAGTTGTGAGAGATTCTTAAATTTTTAAGTATTCCCAAGACACAGTCATGCCCTAATTTTTTTGCTTCTTGTAGGAGCAAGTAAGTGTGGATAAGATACGATATTCTTGGGAAAAAGTAAGCTTGATCCTGCTATAAAGTTGTGAGAGATTCTTAAATTCTTAAGTATTCCCAAGACACAGTCATGCCCTAAATTTTTTTGCTTCTTGTAGGAGCAAATAAGTATGGATAAGATACGATATTCTTGGGAAAAAGTAAATCCTTTCCAATGTGAAGCAAACTTTAAAGTTCTCCTGACATTGGCTCATTTATTTTTATATTACATTTGTTAGGGGTTGTTGGGGTACAGTTTTCTGCAAGACAGGGGTTCAGCTTTCTTCAGGAACTGAGAAGTCCTGGCCATGTCCCCAGTGCACAGACATCAATACCCTATTTTATGGGATGCAATTCCGGGGTTGGTGGCCCTAGTACAGCCCAGGGGAGACCATGCCCTCTGTAGTGGCAGCTGGAATTGGGGTCACATCCACGTGTGAAGCATTAGTTTCAGCCTCACCTGCCAGAATGGAGTATCTATTCAGAATTTTGGGGAAATAAAAATAGTGAGATTTGGCCCAAGGATATGGATGTGTGGGGTATAGATTTCTCACACCTTCATATAACCAATGTATGGATTAATCAATCAATAGGAATGCCATATTTCCAGGTCTAGTCAGAACTCTCTGATTGGGCTTATGGGGGTATCTGGATACAGTGACAAGTCAGAATGAAATTTTTTAAGGGAAAAGAAATAAACGTTTATTACTTAAAAAAAAAGGAATGGAGTTATTCAAACTGAATGCTGAGAAAATATTTCCAAAAGAAATTTGGTCCCCTCTCTAGAAGATTCATTTTTTAAATTATCAGCATTTATTGTAGGTATATGATAAATGCGGAAAAGTCTTTAAATGTGACCCTGAAGGCTTGTTGATCTACAGATAGACTTTATTTTCAGCAATCAGCATATGTCCTGAACAAAAGTTATAGAACAGATAAAATGAGGCTTGATTATGCACATATTGACTCTCTCACCCCCCCCACAGTTTTTTGACTTAAAATAATTTAAGAAAAATGTAATCTACACATCTTTCATAAATCAAAGTAACAAAAGTAAAATTGAAGATGGGATTTGGGGAGGAAGTGCAAGGATTGCTTAAAAGCTGATTGACCTTGGCCAACTGACTTAATCTTTCCAGGACTCAGGTTCTTCATCTATACAACAGGCATTATGCTAGAACCTACCTCTGTGGCGTGGTGAGCATTACTGAGATAACCTAAAGTACTAATATGCTGGAGATTTAGGTGAGTGCCTGGCACATGGTAGGAGCTCAGATAAACATCAGCTGTTAATAGGTAGTTCCAAACGTTCTTACTGAAAGTAAAAACCAAACCAAAGCAAATCAGCTGCAGAGAGAATGGCTCATTCAAGATCACATGGCCCTAGACCCAACCCACTCTGCTGCCCAGCTCTATTCTCTTGCCTCAGACTTCAATGGTTCACTTATCTGGCAAATTCTTTTTGGTCACCCATGGTATAAATCGCATTTATTGTAGGTGGAGTTTACAAACAACTCTATGAGTCCATGGTACCAAGAAGGGTTTCCAAGACACTCTCTGCAGGGTGCCCTTTCTGGCCCAATATTTTCATACCTGGAAAAGCAGCCGCAGAAGCGGCAGCAGCTGCTGCAGTGGGAGCGCTGGCCCCATCGGTGGGAATGCCCAGGGTCTGCAGGGTGTACTCGGCTGCGTATGTCTTTGCTTCATCCACGTAGGC